GGCGGCAATCATGATAATTGTGAAGTAAGAGATTATAAATGCTTAAATTGTAATGGTCCACACTTCGTATTGGATAAACAATGTCCTAGATATCTCAAAGAAAAAAATATTCGAGAGACTATGGCCAAGGAAAACGTCACATATAGAAAAGCTTTACAAAAGTTCATAACTAATAAAAAAGAAGAAACACAACAACTACTAAACCAAGATTTAGAACATTATCAAGATACATCTGAAATGATAACAGAATGCTCTGAAATATGTCATGAAACGTATAGTACCGTGGTGAGGAAGAATAATGGAGCACGAAACATACCAGACAGAGCGAAAAGCATTACCCAAAATATAATTGGGACAGATACCAATACTACACAGAAGAAAAAGAATAAGAAGAAAGCAAAGAAAAAAACAATGTTATTGGAGGATGAGTCATTACCTTCGGCTGAGGAAACGAGAAATAATAAGTACAAATTTGACTTTAAAAGACTACTTTTAAAATTACAAAATATTTTTTTATCGGAAAATAATAATGAAGAAATAATTTCTAGATGTCTAAAAACAATTTATGAGGAAGTTAAAAAAATAATTTGTAAGCTTTTATTTAATGACAATATGTTACATAAAATATCTGCCTTTTTTAATGGATAACAATCTTGTATCTCATTCGGTTATAAATATATTACAGTGGAACTCTCAGAGTATTAGGCCTAAATTGTTAAGTTTTAGAGAACTATTAAACACCGAAAGAATCCACATTGCGATAATCTGTGAGACCTGGTTAGATAGAGAACAAATTATTAATATTAATTCATACAGCATATATAGAAATGATAGGCAGGATGGTTATGGCGGAGTGGCCATAATTGTACACAAATCGATCCAATCCTATGTATGTTCAGTTAATATTCCGAACCCAGGTATAGAAATATTACACGTTAAGTTAGTCAACTGCAGTAATTTGGAGAACATTGTTTCAATATACTGTCCATCGTCAAGTCCTACACAACTTTCAGATTGGGACGGCGTATTCGAAAGATTTAAAAGTAAATCCTTAGTGGCTGGAGATTTCAACGGTCATCACACTAACTGGTCATACAAGACAGACAACAGAGGAACTCAATTATTTGACGCTTCTTTAGAACATGGACTTTTGTCTCTGAATAATGGGGCTGCTACTCGTATTAAGCTGGTGGATGGTATATTGAGACAAACTTCCCCGGATATTACATTTGCATCTACAGATATATGCGCAAATTTCATATGGCAAACCCTTCAGGAAAATTTGGGTAGTGACCACCTAATGATTAAGTTGTCACTAAATCACCAAACTGTCTTACGACCTATTACAAAACGTAATTTTAAGCATGCAGACTGGATAAAATATAGAAATAAACTTAAAATAATATTTAAAAATAATGAATTATTATTTAGGTATAATTTGCATAATATACAAGAAATGTATGAGTATTTTATTCGAGAAATTAATCAGGCTGCAGATATTAGTATTCCTTTAGTTAAAATTAATAGAAATCCGACAAATAAATTCAAACCAAAGCCATACTGGAACCCCGACTTATCTCTAGCTGTAGCGCGTCGCAGATTAGCATTAAGAAATTTTAGGAAAAACCCTACTTCTGATAATTTACTCATATTTCAAAATCAAGCAAAAAAGTGTACCAAAGCAATTTCAAGGGCTCGCTGTCGAAATTGGGAAACATTCTGCAACGCCGTCGATGGAGAAACATCAACATCAGAGTTATGGAATAAAATGCGTTGGATGAAAGGGCATATACGGACAAAAAACATTATACCGATCGAAAAACAAATAGATTTGTTATGTTCAATTACTCCTGATCAAAGTCTAAATCAAGGACCCAGTATAATGTCACAAAATTATCATTTAGAAAAAGAATTCAATGTTAACGAACTCGAATGTTGCTTAAAAACAAAAGACACCTCACCTGGTGATGACTGCATTACATACTCCATGATTTATAATTTGCCAAAGGAAGCGAAAATATTTCTATTAAAATTGTATAACCTAATTTTTCATTCGGGATATATTCCAAATCAGTGGAGAGAAATCAAAATTATAGGAATACAGAAACCATCTTTTAACCCAAATGAAGAACAAAAACTCCGTCCATTATCTCTAATGTCATGTATTTGTAAAATATTTCATTGTATGTTAAGTAAACGTATAGAGTGGTATGTGGAGCAAAAAGAAATTATCTCAGGGTACACAGTAGGTTTCAGGAAATCATTATCATGTATAGATAGCCTAGCACGTTTGATTTCGCAAATACATATAGGTTGTTCAGAAAACATACCAACCCTTGCGTGTTTCCTCGATATAGAAAGTGCTTATAATAATGTTTCGATCGGGGCATTAATACAAATTTTAGATGAGATTACAGTAGGTCAGAAAATCTGTAAGTACTTATGGAATTTTCTAAGTGAAAGACATCTCACGATTAAAGATGAAGACGGGCATCGAATTTTAACAAGATGGTCTAGTAATGGGTTAGCACAGGGTGACCCTATTTCACCACTTTTATTTAATATTGTAACATACAAAATATGTCATCAAATTAAGAACGTCATGATATCTCAATACGCAGATGACTTCGTAGTATATGTAAGCAACAAAAATCTGACACAGTGTAAAATAAAAATTGAGTCAGCTTTACAAATGATCAAAATATTATTGGAAGATATAGGACTACAATTGTCTTTATCGAAATCAAAATATTGTGTATTTAGCCGAGGATCTAGAAGAATAGTACCTAATATTACTGTAGGAAATTATTCCGTGCCAAGATCAAAGTGCATTAAATACCTAGGTATGTGGCTAGATCAAGGTCTCACTTGGAGTAAGCATATCAACGAAATTGTTGAAAGAACTTCAAAAGCATTAAATTTGTTGAAAGTTTTAGTGGGGTCCACTTGGGGGGTACATCAGAAACACGTCAGAAGACTTTACATTTCTTTGATACGGAGTAGAATTGACTATGCGAGTTTCTTATATGATAACAGCTCTACAGCTCAGGTTTCTAAGTTAGATAAAGTACAGAACCAGGCCTTACGGATTATCGGTGGATTTATTAAAAGCACCCCAATCCACGTTATGGAAAGTGAACTTGGTTTACCACCACTTTTCATAAGGAGACAATACCTTGCATACAAATTTTGCTTAAAGAGTCAATCATGGCACAAAAATGTAAATGTTGATCTTTTATGTAAACTTAGCACCTTGTGTCATACTGGGTATTGGCAGAGAAAAAAGAAGCCCTTGCTTGCGTCTACATACGAAGAAACTAAAGTATATAAAGTTCATTGTACTTATCCTTTACTGATGTTCTCATTAAACACATGGGTAACTAATATAAACATCAAAGATATGATAAACATAAGCCTAGATTGTATATCGAAAGGTAAAGCAGAGTATGAATACAATTCATTAAAATATAATGTAATTGATGAATTAAACAAAAAATATGCGAACTGGCATAAAATCTTTACAGATGGTTCAAAGAAAGATAATACTCTGGGAGCAGCCTATTATGTAGTGTCTGTGCAACATAAAGCTTGTTTTAATATTGAGACTGAATTAACTATAATGTCGGCGGAACTCGTTGCGATTTCAGAAGCCCTATCATTTGTGATTGATAAGAATTGGAATAATACTGTAATTATATCAGACAGCAAGAGTGCATTGCAACACTTGGCTCGATGCGCCTCTGGTGCCAGAGGTGTTTCGATAGCCTATGTGATACTTGAAAAGATACTACAACTACAAAGAAAGGATAGGGCTCTAAACTTGCAATGGATTCCCTCTCATGTTGGAGTATATGGTAACGAAGTGGCAGACAAATTGGCTAAAGAAGGGTGCTCAAACGGAATCGAAATTAATGTACCTCCAGATTATGCGGAAATATTACACAAATTCAATACACTTACTTTTTACAAATGGAAAGAGCATTTCAATAAAATATCTAGGGACAAAGGAATTTGGTATAAGTCTATCCAATCTGAGCCACTTCGTACACCATGGTTTACAGGATGTAATTTTTATAGAGATTTAGTTAAGTTAATATTAAGATTAAGATCAGGGCACATTCTATCAAACAAATTTGCATATTTAATGAACAAAACTGATTCTCCAAATTGTAATGTGTGTGGGGTAGAGGAAGATGTACAACATGTTTTGATGGAATGTGTCAAAAACCGTAGGGATAGGGAAATTCTCATGGAGGTATTGGAGCTAAACCCATGTGACATAGGAATCCCCCAAATGATTCTGTCTGCACCTACATCTAATGGAGCAAAGATACTCTGTCACATGACTAAGCCCGCAATGACTCCTCTATGATGTAAGTTTAAGATTGTATATATAATTATGTTGTTAAATGTAAGTTAAAATTGTTACAATGGGGTTGTCATATCCGAAAGGATAAAAACCCCTAAATAATAAAAGAAAAAAAAAAAAAAAAATAATTTATCAGTGTTGTCAACTACCTACAATATATTTTCGTGTTGTAAAAGAGTTGTAAACTATGTGTAAATGTACCTACTGTTTATAATTATGTTTATTTCTTGTGTGAAGTGATTTGCAATCTTTGAGAAATAAATGATTCTAACCTTTATTTTGTTAATAAAATTGACCGAGATAAAAAGTAGCCTATGAGTTATTCCAAACTGTAGTATATCTCTGTGCAGAATATATGAGATACTAGCAAGATAACGATTGTGGTTTTCTTTGTAGTTTGTCAAGACCCTGACGAAGTAGTCACGCTCACCGTTTAGACGCAGTATTCCAAATAATTGTTTTCGTCAAACAGATGTATAGAAAGAGTCTTCAAACTTTATATCGATATGTCTAAGTGTGTTCTTATCTATATACTATCGTTTCATATCCTTCGTACCAATGAAAATACTGTCGTTCTAAAGAATACTAAAAGATGTTGCTTTTTAAAATTGTTTGATCATAGTTGTCAAAGATGGAAGAAACTCTGGACGGTCGTGAGGGGAGCGCTGGATCGGCAGGATTTGACTCTGCAGCCATTTTGAATGATGACGTATCACCTACCACTAGCTTCTGTTACAACATACCTAACTTGTTTAATGGGTAAGATATTATATTAACAAAAAAAAGTTTACTAAACGCAATATGTTTTATTTATGTCAAAATGCGGCATGTATGCGAAAAAATAAAAAAAAGGGTGAGCTCTGCGTTAACAGTATGGGTAAGTAACGTTTAAAAATAAATTATATTGACTCGTCTCTTTCGTTGCATGCAGAAAACTAAATAGTTCTTTACTGAATTGTCCACTAAATTGCGGCAACTAGAGACACATGTTAGTCTTTGGATGAGTATGCTTGAAGAGGATTATACCAGGTCGTATTTAAAAGAAAGAATTTAGTTGTTTAACAGGAACGATAACTTTAATTCGTAATTGTATGTAGCGCCCATCCTTATTAAGAACGTAGGATCTGCAAATCAGCAATTTTACAGGAGGACGCGTCAAAGTTTAAAATTGCTTAATTTTGTTTATATATAAATACATAAATTTACTTGGTTAACATAGCTATTTTAAAAACTATGAGGAAAAATTGACTTTTTGTTAAAGCTGCTGAAAAATATTGCTTTTTTAGGTCAATAGTAAAATAAAAGCATAATCAAGAAAATTGCATATCCGACCTTCTTAATAGGGACAGGCGATAGACGAGTGACGGGGGCCAAGGCTCATTGGCGAAGGTTATATAGCGCTTGAGAAGTAAATAATGACGAAACGCATCGCTCTGAAAGTTGCCTCTCAGAATTATTTTAAGTGGTTTTCAACAATACTGCTGTAGTGTAATGATAGAGTTTCAAACGGTCAGTTCGAGTTTGAATTGTGTTAATCATTAGGAATAATTTACTTAGTCGGTTATTAAACAAATTAAAGAGCAACTGTGAAGGTCTCCAATGATTGACAAAAAAAAGAATGTCGTTTATGTATGTGTGTGTGTAAACGTTAATAAACGTTTGCTTGTTTATTCCTGTTTAGGTTAGTATTGAAATGTACTCATGCAAATAAGTTTTAATTGCCAATTTTCCTACTGTATTTACGTTGTACAGCCTTGGCCCCGGTTCGGTGCTGTGCGAGCGTGCTGACACTGAACCGACAGAATCTTACACACCGAACGCAGAAGCTACAGAAGAGACCGTAGAACATCAGCAGTATGAAGATGATGAAGAATACTCTCCTAAATCTAGTACGAAAGGAGAAATACCTAAGCGAAAACAGAGACGTTACAGGTGAATATAAATTTACTAATTCTGGGGCAGTTTAACTTCATAAAACACCACTACGGAGTATACAAACCAAAACAAAACAAAAGCACTGTATAGAAGAGTAAATCATAACCAAGTCTTTATTCACAAAAAGATTTACGTCTTGTTATTTCTTGTAAGAAATATGGCATTACCCAATCTTATACTACCTTAGGAATAATAAATATACTCGTATTTATAGGTTATTTTAGCTTCAATTTTATTGAAGATGTGTGTACTTTCTCGCTGTTTATTTGAAGTTAATTCTCATTTTACACATTGCGACACAGTGGACATTCTTATAGAATGAAGGAGAGTTATCTCCACTAGATAAGCAATACCTACTTGAGTAAACAGTTGAAAGAAAATTCTCAATTTACAAACAAAATATATTTCAGCGCTCTCAAGCTGATCTGTTGTTCCTTGATCCCTCATCGTGCAAGGATGATTCTCGGATTGTTTTAAATATATTTAATTTGCCCATATTAACAGGGAAAAAGGTAGTCAGATGATGAACCGTCAATTGCCCTGGTCAAAAGATATTTGCTAATGCTTGCCGAATTTGTGTAGATGTTTTTTCTGACAAAAAGTCGGTAAATTACGCTCTTAAAAAATTTAAAAACAAACTAATAAACGTAAAAGTGAAGTTAGTATCTTAATTTGATTTGCTTACCTACCTTAACTTTTCAGGTGCCTATTATGAATTGTTATCAGGAGTACAGAAAAGATACAGGGTTACCTTTTACCTCAAATAAACTATATCTATGACAGAAAATTAGCTTTCACGCTAGTGAAACAAAGATACAAGAAGTAATATGTAAAAGTACTATATATAATGTATATATATTTCAGGACCACATTTTCGAATGTTCAGTTAGAACAACTTGAAGCCGCATTCCACAAGACTCATTATCCAGATGTCTTCTTTCGCGAAGAGCTGGCCATGAGGATAGACCTAACTGAAGCAAGAGTGCAGGTATGTGTCTTCGGCTTATAATAAGCAGTAGGTCGGTCGAACAATCATATTAATTATGTTATTATCACTTGGTTTGTTTTTTGGTGATTGCTTAGAATATCCACATCTTCACTAATATTAGGGGTTAAAGTACATATGTAATTGCCGATTTATACAAAAAATTGAAACTCTTTTTTTTCTAAGATGTAACATATTTATTTAATCACAATATTTACCCTCATTATTTATACATTGCTGCCATCTAAACGGAAATTAATTTATGCCTTTATGATAGAACTCTCGGGGCTGTTTCACTGCTAGTTTCGCATTATTGTTCGAAATTCAGCACAGTAAACATCTGCTGTTATTGCCCGATCAGACCTGAGAAAGCTATAGTAGATAACACCATAAAGAGACTAACAAACAGTTACCATTACCTTTTTATTGGTAAGCATTGCTTTAAGGCACTGTTACGGCGCTTGACCTGGGGTCAGCCTTTACTTTTTTCGCTTACGGTTATCCTAAACAATCCACTTTTCATCACATGTCACAATTCTATCCAATATTTCTTCTTTTCTATACTGAGTCAACAAGGCAACACAAGTTTAACACGCATTTCTTTCTTGCAGATCAGTTAAATCATGAGGCACCCATTTTTCATATTTTTTTAAATTATTGATTTGATGCAAATGAGTCAATATTGTAGATAGGGCAACGTTAAACCATGCCGCTAATTCCTGGGTGGTTTGACTCGGATCGGCTTCCACCATCACCTTCATTTCAGCGTTATTCACCTGTGTGGATCTTCCACGTGGTTCGTTCTTTAAGTCGAAGTTACCATGACAAACCAAATCGTTTAAACCAAAAACGCACGGTGTGTTCATTAGCAGTCTCCTCTCAAGGCTGTCTGTCAAGGCTAAGCTGAATAGAAAATTACAACAATTGAAAGTCGAAAATCGATTGTTGCACATTTTTCAAATAAAGAACCTTATGGGTATCATGTGAAAAAAATTTGACACGAAAATCTCACACCAAGGTTTTACGTCAATCAAAGTATTTATTACCATACAACGACAATTTCATACTTTAACTCCTATTATTATAAAGCTAAACTCAGGATCTCCTGGTTCGAATTGAAAAAAATCATAGATAGCTTATTTATCGAGGAAGGCTATGTAACATCACGCTACGACCAATAGAAGCTGAGCATCAATGAAAATGTTACAAAAACGGGGGTCAGATAGTGTACGAGTATTAATAAAATGAAACTGATGAGTTCGAGAATTTCTGCAACATCGATTTAGGTTCTATTTTTTTTTTAATTGGATAGATTAACCTGGAGGAAGGCTATATAAAATCACGCTACGACTCTTAGGAGCGGATCAGTTGCCAAAAACTTGAGTCAAACTTCTAAGGTTCTAAGGTTTTGGTGCGACAATCTGAACCATCAGCCTTTATACCTAAGTTCGGTCATCAACTGCATTAAATAAATTTGGCAACTTTAGTACTTGATTTGGGTTTTAAATACAAAAAGTGTAATATTTTTCAAAAACGGGCATTTTCCATTTTCATTTCTTCTGCCAAAGACCGGGCGGGTTAGCACTCGTTATGGGAGGCCTTTGTTCAGCTCTGGACGGCGATAGGCTAATGATGATGATTCACTTCAATTATACGAATAATAATAACGATTAATTACGTTCCGTCCGTGTAGTGACGAATTAAGAATACGGAATGTCACTACCCCAATTCATCCCGTGGGTGTCGTAAGAGCCGACTAAGGGCGCAAAACAACGCAGGACACCAGCACCTCAAAAAGAAGAAAAACTTGACACAAACTCTATACCAACCCGTCTGGCGCTTAGAAAGGAGGTTTTGGCCTACTATAACAGTAGGCCGAAACCTCCTGTCTAAGCAGAGGCCTATGTCCAGCAGTGAACTATTAAAAGGGGTTGATGAGGGGATTATAACTTCTAAAACTTACTAAACATTTGTATTTCATCGTTAATATTTAGAAAGATGAGCTTCAATGCTATCTCTCATTATTTTAATTTCAGGTATGGTTCCAAAATCGACGTGCCAAATGGAGAAAGCAGCAAAAGGCGGGTTGCGAGTCCTACCCTGCACCGAGGGGCAGATCACCTGAAAGATCCTCTTCAGCCCTTGCTCTGGAGATGAGAGACTTTATTACTATTCCTGGTAACTAAAAGTATTAAAATTAATATGACTTTGGTAGTGTTTACAATCATGAAAATACTTCATTAAATTCAGAAACTCTTACTAGTTACGCCATTAAATTGCGCCGCTCTTTGTGTTTTGTTGCCTTTAGGAGGGGAAAATAAGGTTTAGCTTTTCTCTGTATGTCTTGGCAAAAAGCTGGTATAGAGAATCTTTTTAGGTAGTGCTTACCCGTCGTAGTGAACTTCCGGGATTATATGATTCCAGAAATTTCACACATGAACAATTTTTATTACGCCTGTTAGAAGCATCGGGAACACTTGACTTTTTTTTTAAACGCGGAAAGAACTATGTACGAAATTATACACGTACATAGTTCTTTCTATTTTGTGATATACTCAAATCCGACAAGTCATTTTTAGAGACATTTCAATGACTCAATACGGATGATGTGGGGACAATTTTTTTGTCTGACTTTTTCGTAAGAATTTGCAAGATATAAAAGTAATTTAAATCTTTCATTTACATTCATAATACGACCATATTTTATTTATTATCTATATTCTTTACTTTGATGCTCTAACTGAACCGTAAACAATATAAACAATACATCTACCCTTACGTGAGATTCTTAATATTCTTAAATCTGTTATAATAAATAATAAAGATTCTTAATATACACATATACACACGTGCGTATCAAGAATCTTTATTTGCATTTTCGAAAACTGCCAAATTTTACGCTCCTCCATGTTGTGATTTCACAGTTTAGAGGGGCGTAAAATTTGGAATTTCTAAGTCTAAATAAATGTAGGAGTGTAGAAAGATACAATTTTTAAAGAATATGTGTTACAAATTTTAAAATAGTGAACATCGTGTATACAAGTCTAGTATATAAAGATAATATGTTGACCCCTCATGATGCGAAAAGCTGTATAATGATAAAATAAAGAATTAACAGTTGGTTGAAAAATTCGATCGCTAATAATTTAGTTCCTAGGTTTATTAACTGTTATAATTATATTTTACAGTTTCATCAGCACAAATGATACATTTGAGTGAAACTCCAACTCAAGCCTACGCGACGAAATCAAAGCCATCACCACCAGCCATACACATCTCGGCACTACCAACAAGACACAATTCTCAAGTTGATCTGCCCTCTTTTTCCATACCTCTGCAGTACAATCTCGGAACCTTTAAAAAAATTGGAGAAGATGTTCATTTAAATCTAGAGGCTTCCGAACAACCAAATTGGGATTCTAGAATGATCCCTAATTTCAACCTTATGAATTTGAAACCTTTAAATGAGACGAGAGATAACGTAGACATGGAACTTAAATATGAAGTAAAGAATGAAAATAGAGTTAACTTTAGTGAAATACAATCAGTTCAAACTATTGAAACTGAAGATATTTTAGGTAAAGAGACTGTGAATGAGGGTCAAACGATATCACCAGATTTTGAAATACAAAGGTATCAAAATTATTCAAGTGAAAATGAAAAAAGGTATAGAGAACACTCTTTTGAGGATTCAATAATGGAAGATGGCAGAAATGATTTCGTCTGTGATAATGATTTTCTTTGTAAAAATAGTTTTGATAAGGTTAATGAGAAACGGAATGAATTTGAGGGGTGTCATTTATTAGAGAGTGATACTAATGTTGGAATTAGTAATTTTGAGACGAATTTATAAAATATGGACCTTTCCTAATTAAGGTATATCATTAGGTATAGTACTTATTCTAGATAATATTAGATCTAGCATTATGTTATTTTCATAAGCTTTATATAGATAGCATAGTTAATATTTAGAGATTCATACTCGTATATGGACACGTGTATTCTTAAAAGACACAGAAACAGAGTTTTAAAAATGTGGGTGCATTCTGCCTTCTGATTTGGGTATGTTTACGTAATAGTGCGTGAGTGATAATATTGTAATGAGTAACGTTAGATGGTCATACGGATAACTATGTCATAATTTATGGAGCTTTTGATGAGAAATAGAAAAATGTTGATAAATATAATGGTGGACGTAATTTTACATTTGAAATAATTTTAATTTGAATTAAAAATTGATGCCGTCCAAGATAAGATATGTATAAAACCTAAAAATATTTAAATGATATTAAATACATTAGTCGTGCTTGTAGTGGTCTCTAGTCTTGTAAAATTGTACTAGTCGATTTTGTGATATATTTTTATTGTATGGCAATAATAATTTTAAAACCAAGTAATGTTGTTTTTTTACGAGTCATATACATTAGCTTGTTGTACGTGCTGAGCTTAAACTTGTAATTCAGTTGTTTTAATTGTAGAATAAATTTGGCGTTATAATTTATCTGCATACTTATCTTTTTTAAACTAGGAGACACGTACTCTTTTGCATTATGAACGGTTTTTTTAATAGTACCTATGTATGTAACTATGTGTACAACGATCGAATGAAATCGAACAGCCTGTGACTACAGCCAATGCAATCTAGTCACAAAGTCAGACAATCTAAAAAAGAACAAGATAAAGAGGTCAGTAACATGAAACACGAAAGTTAATGGCAATATAATGAATATACGTACTAAGGGTCGCCAAGAGCTTAAATTTTGTCAGTGATTTAAAATTATTAAAAACACCAAAGCTCTTTCTTACTAAACAAATATAGAAAAAGCACAGTGTAGCGGAAGTGGTTCTCCACAACTGGAGACACGGAATAGATCGTTGCTTTTGTACTCGATATTTTTTACTATTAGTACATTTTGGCTCGTATCGTATCGTATTATTTCAAATCTCTATATTATACTACTAGCGCCATCTTGCAGATTTTCTTTGATTATTAGCTCCCATTACAAAACAAGATAAGGATTAGTATGTATGAACGGACTTTTATCCGTTTTATTTTTGTATTATGCGGCATATATTGAATAGATCTAATAAATAATTCAAATTACATAGTAAACTGTTCTTGTGTCATTTAGGTGTGAAATATCGCTGTCTGTCAGTATCATGATGAAAAAATATATTCTAAATTTGTTCATAAATCAGTTTCCCGTTCCCGTTCAGTCGTTCAGTCGAAAACGGAAAAATGTGCTAGTTGCAATATCTTTACTTGTATGAAAACGCTTTTTTTTATTTTATTTATTATTTACCAATGCATTTTATTTTTAAATTAATTGGATCATTTAAAAGAAAATGAGCCGTTGCGTAGTAAAATTCTTTTGTAGAAACAATGCGTCTAAAAGAATAGCTAGGAAAAAATTAATTGCAATATAATAATTGTGCAAAAAACATGGATGCACTAAATATTTTGCTCTACTTGCAAATCAGCGTCAAACATAGTGCGGGCGACGAATACCGTGGCGACGCGGACGTATTCCCTCTCCGACGGCCGCCACGAGATCACGCCTTTGCTCCACCCACGCCAGGCATTTTGCCAGCGTATGGAGCGTGATGTCCACGGTCCGGGTGCCACTCAGGCGTTGGCTCCTTGCGGATCAGATACAGGTGATTTCCGAAGCATCCTTTCCCGGTGATCACCTGCGTCAGCCAGTATGAGAGGGTTTTTTATTATGTGTGGAGACCCCCTCCGACTGTCACTCGAGACGATGCGGTAACCGCCAATTTCCTCTGAGGGCTCCAGAGGTGTGCCCTATTCTGAGCGGTCAAAGCCGCCGCCCACACCGGTGAACCGTACAGTGCCATTGACCGGACAACCCCGTTGCGACGCTGGGTCCACCCAAATTGCCTTGAAATATTGTGCATTAATCTTAATATAATAGATGCATGCTTTAGATTTTAGTAAATAATGTAACAACTACTGGCTGTCCAATAAATAAATAAATTGGGTAAGAGTCACCCATCGGGAGCTAGCCAATCGGCCCAGGCTGCCTCCAACTTAACACAAATCCTATACCAACCCGTCTGGCCAGGGTGGTATAGTAGGTCAAAACCTCTTTTCAAAGGCCTACGTCCAGCTGTGGACTATTAAAGGATGTGATGTGATGATGACTAATGGGTACAATATAGATAATTTTGATTTAATACGTATGAAAAAGGTAACTGCTCATAATTTAAGCCAAGAACAAACATTATTGTAATATTAACATCGCAGTTGATGATTCAATGTGATTCAAAGAGAGATTTAACATGTAATTATAGTATATTAGTTTATAGGACGGAATGAAAAAAAAAACAGCATTGGGAGAAAGCAAGTCTTATTAGTTACTAGTTAGAGGCCTCAGAATAGAAGCACAAAAATATAAAAATAAAAATAGTCCTGAGACTGTTATGGTAATTAAGATATTTTATTTATTTATTTTACTTTAATCTACAAAGCGACCATCTTGTATTAAAAAATGTGAAAATATAGTTGTAGCAGAGACTGATTATTTAAGTTTGTAATTAAAAACTAGTCGTTTCATTTCGAGTGACCTTTGTGTATCTATAACATCGTGGGCCAAACATTGGAGCTTTGCCTGTATTCAAATATTGTAAAATCAGCCCGTGAAACTGTTCTAACAGTATCTTATTCACGGACGAAGCGGTTATAATTTGAAAATGTATTTCACCTTACTAAGACGGAAATCAATCTCAATTTAAGCAAACTGAACTATGAATTAATAATTTAAACATAAACTTATCTAAATCGTGAATGCAGACCGACCATTACACTTGATGTAAACACCCTTTGAGGCGGGGTTTTAGGGCTTGGGTTGACTTCCGATTGTGCGATCTGCAACTAATAAAAAAATATTTCAATATTCTTACTTTGTCTATAAATGTGTATTCTTTCAGATAGTTATAATTTACTGACAAAGAGGCTACACCGTTGTGGCGTATAACTATTACCGACAACTCTTAAAGGCTTCGTATAATAATAATAATATTTACGGACATCTGACACACAACGCCATCTAGTTTCAAACTAAGCAGAAAACACCCAAACTCTGAAACAAATATTTGCAGATCATACAAACATTTGATACAACCCGGGAATCAAAAACGAGACCTCTGCACATCAGTCGCATACGCTACCACTGCACTACCGAGGCAATATTCAACTGGGCCTTGGTAGCACAAAGTGTAATAGCTAACCAGACTTTTCCTATACGAATGAAACTAACTCCTGCTTCTAGTTCTGAAGCGGAGAATGAAGTATCTGTTATAAGCTTTACGCATCTCGTCTGAGTGTAGTAAGAAAACCTTTCAATTCCAAACAAATTACTTTCTAAGGAAATGTTCGATATAACTGTTTCCCTATAAATTATGGTTATCGGAGGTTCACTTATTTTTTCATTTGACCAATCTATTAAATATTAATAACTTGACACATAAACCTTAAGTTATTGGAAGTATTAAGTTAAGTTGGAATTCGAAAACTTCCTTCCCTTTTGCTTTTTTTCCTTTAAAACTCTCTCACCCGCCTTGCTTACTCGGCCACTGACTTACTAGACTTGGCTTACATAAGGGACCTCCCTTATGTAAGCCTAGTCAAGTAAGCCAGTAGCATAATATTTTCTAGACTGCTAGAATTGGATTTATTTTGGCATTGTTCGTAGGACAATATTGTTAGCTTATGTTGTACAAATACAAACATTTTAACTTTATTCACTACTAGTATAAAACCATATTGATCTGACAATATTGTCTGGACATGAAAGGGGTTTGGCGTGATAATTTTTATAATGAAAGATTGATTTCTTTCCTCGTTTTGTGCTTTTCTAAGGAGAGGCCTATGTCCAGCAGTGGACTATTAAAGGCTGTTGGTGTGATGTGATGTGATGTGATGTGCTCATTTTATCTTTAACTCAATTCGATATTTCATAAAAGTCTACACATTACTACTACTAAACTCTCAATAGGGTTAACGAATAAGTACTATGAGTGATATTTTTAAATATACATTAAATTCATCTTTTTTATAGCTTCTAAATATGCCAATTAGAATGTTATAAACCCACGCCCCACGGGTCTGTATATATTTTCGGATCATTTCGCTGGTCTATTAAGATTTTTTAGACATGGTTACATACTTTATTTATACATATTTCCCTAGATACTTATTTAGATGTCGCAATTTCAAACAACTTTTGATAGAATTTTCGGTAAATATTTTTTACGTCATCGCGTATTTGTTATACTTTTTGTAATATGAATGACATGGGAATTGATTCTTTGATTCATAGTTACTCTATGTCAGTTGCAATATTTCTACATAACTAATACAGTAAAAGGGCTTTTCCGACAATTAAAGTCACAAATATTGTTTTTGAACCACAAATAGTTTTGCTTAACATTACAATATGTTTCAACATACATACTGCGGTGTTTTATTTGACCATAAAATACTAAGCTTAGCTTTTTCTTGTCTTAAGCCTATTTATCATAAAGCTCACTTCATTTTGACAGTTATGAGGAAAATAGGCTAACATGTAACTGTCATCAACACCAATTATTCATTTTTACCTTTTATTTATATTTTGTTGACGGGGTGAAAAATTCCTTCGAATCTCCGACACCTAGGGGACGCAGGAGTCAGCAAGGTGTTTTCACTAAAAACCACCCCGACGGCCTGTCGTACTCTAAGTATTCACTTTTACCTACAAAATAATAAGTTTCTACGTATCTAAGAAAAGAGTGAAAACTAAGTAAAAATTGTAACTTTTCACCAAAGTTTATATAACAACTACCATTTTCTGT